TATGAATTGGGTTCAGACATATTGAGTTGGAGGTAACTTTGTGACAGCCAGAGGATTTTTAATTTGTTGGATCTATGAATCTAGAACTTACAGGTAAATCTGGAGATGTAATTTGTAAGACATCTGCAGAGATAATAATTGAAGACATGGGTGTAGATGAATTATTTAGGAAGGCTGTGTTTGAATACATGAGAAATGACAAAGAGGATAATTTTGTGTCTTAAACATATGAAGAGATAGCTACTGGTCTATTGATGTCTAAATTCTGTGAAATGTTTTAAACATACTGCAAATCCTTTCATGTGATCATTCAAATTTATCTACTTGCCAACAGAACAAACAAGCAAGCAAAATATAACCAGAGACATTGAAATAAAGAACAGACTGACAGTGACCAGAGGAGCCTGGAAAGGGATAAAGGGGAAAAAGGGGAAGGGTAATCAAGACACATGTATAAAGAACACATAGACAAAGCCAAAAGGAGGTAGGATCGAGGGTGGGAAGTGGGGATGAAGTGGCAGGGGAGAGTGGTGGAAGGAAAATGGAGACAGCTGTACTTGAACATCAATAAAAAAAATTATCTACTTGCAATAGATGCCTAAATTGGTTAGGATTTTCAACAGCCTAGTAAAAATAAGATTACAGAAGAGGATAGACGTGCTATATTATTAAGTTTAGAAGGGAGAGAAAATCAAAGCTAAATCCCTGATGGGGCTAAAGCCATTACACAAACCAAACAAACCTAACTTGAAACATCGTACTGCTTTAAATTGGTTTAAAGTAAAAAAAATTTTTTGGAAAAATTTTTGCTGTGAAATTTGTCAAATCATGTGGGAAAAAAAGCTTAAATATCTGTACTATAATCAATCAGAACTCTTTGGGTTGTCTTATTTCCCTGCTAAGAACAAAATCTACTTTTGCAAATTTTTCATAATCACCAGTGAATTCAAATGTTAATTGCTTATCCTACTACATATTAGATTGAAGTCCAGTGGAAAGCATTTAACCTGAAAGGCATCCCTGGGTGAGTCTAGAAATGGGGAGATTTATTCTAGGGAAGCATTGTTGGAATGGGGAAAAAGCAGGGCTATGATTAGTAAGTTTTCAATAGGTACATTCTGGAAAAGATCATGCATTTCTTATGAATTACTAAAGTATAAATTGGTAAGTATAAAATATTTAAATGCAAAGTCAATATTTGTTAATTACTGTATAGTACAAATCAAATTCTATTGACAAAACATGTAATTGTATCATTTGACCTAACATCACAGTAGCTATGATCTCAAACAGCTGTTAGTTATTTTAACCTTTAGATTATTTTTTTGCCCTGAGTTTAGTTGGCTTGGTATATCAGAAGCTCTCCCAACAGACAGCTGTTTATTCTATTTCTTTATTTAATTTACTTTTCTCCTTACCTTCTTTCTAGTTACCTAGATGCCTGTGCAAGCTACGCAGGATGTACATTTGATTGATGATGGCAGGAAGACTAGTGCCAGTGGAAAATGTTTTTGCTAAACTACAGTTTTATTTGTGTTGAAATCTGTAAACAAATTTCAAAGGAAATTTAAAATGTAGAAAGAAGGAAAAAGAGAGACCTAGCTTATTCATAAACCAAAATATTTATTTTTAAAATCTGAAAATTGGTATTAAGGTGGCAAAAGAACAAATTCTGGCTTATGACCTCTTTCCTTGTTTTTTGTTAAGTTGTTTCATGACCTGCAATGGGCTATTTTCCCTCATGTTTCAGAAGACAGAGGCACTAAAATCGGTGGGGAAGACTACCAGGCAAACTGAGGAGCAGCCTCCATTGATGTTTGGGAGCATGGGTCCTGCTTGATTTATGGCTTGGATTTAGTACTTATTAGCTCTGTGGCCTTGGACACATGCCTCGTCCAAGTGGAGTATGTTTCTGTACCTAAGAAAGGCTTTGTTCCTTGTATTGTTAGATCTGGTTTTAGTTTGTCATCTATGTGTATTCCATCTATCAGGTAAGTCCAAGTATGCTGCTCTCTTTGCCACCAGACAAGCTGTTGTTCCAGGTGATAAGAGACATGTCTGCCTAAACTTAATGTCGGTCCTAGCATTTCCAAGCTGTGAGAAATTGAGCAGGTTACTTAACCTCTCTGTCCCACATTTTCCCATTCAGATAATGGATGTATTCATAGAACCTATCTCACAGTAGGTAGGAAGGTTGTATTTGAATACACATGCAATGATGATAATTTTCTGCCTTAAATATATGAAGAGATAGCTACTGGTCTATTCATGTCTAAATTCCTTGAAGTGTTTTAAACACATTTCAAATTCTTTCAAGTGATCATTCACATTTATCTACTTGCAATATATGCCTAAAAATATGCAGGACTAAATATGACTAAATGCATATAAAGCACTCATAATAATAAATAAATGTTTGGTGTTGTTACTATTATTATTATGTGGTTCATACTAAATTGAAGCTCTAATCAACATTTATTCATATTCATCATAAAGGGTCTATTTATGCTCTACATTTGTGAGTATGGAATCCAATGTTGGAAAGAAGGACTTGAAAAGAAAAATCCTGTAATAGATTTCTTTCCAAATTTTTTTTTCCACCACAGTCACTGAAGCTTCTCGCTCTCTCCTCCTTTCTGCTTCCTCTAGCACACACAATCATCTCCTCAGCTCCCCTTCCCCATCTCTCCTTTTCTTCATTCTTCCAGGCTCTCTTTCCTTCATTATATTCTAGAAGTATGTCTGTAAATTTAAAGTAACAGAGTTGTATGTGAATACTAAAGTAATCATCACAGTGTCTTATACTTTCACTTTTATAATAAGTGGATGCCTTCAGAGGAATGCTTGTGATCACCAACCAGGACGCCATATTTCAGAAGGGTGGGAAGGTTCAGCTCTGACTTTAGGAGATTATTGTCATTGAACATGGGTCCAGCTGCCTGCCACTTTGAAAGTCTGGAGACAGGTGCTAAAGAAAGTGGTTTATTTTCAGGTGCCAGCAACCTGAGAAGATAAGGGACTCTTCTCTCAAAGCCTATCTTAATATTTCTGGTCAAGTCAGTGATTCTTATAGGGAGTTGATGTGTATTCGGGAAAGGGGAAACTCCCGGGGGGAATGTGTGTTTCTGTTACTGTTTGTTGTTTCTGTTGGGGATAAGGGGAGTAGAGGACTGAAATGGGAGTTAGCACAGCTTCTTCCCAAGCTCACTCCCTTGGTCCAGGTGTTATCTCTCTATCTGAATTAGCATTCTTCCCTTCCTTGGACCTGTGGTTTATGGCCAGCACCAGTGTATCTTGGACTTGCAAGGAGAACTGACACACAGGGTAATTAAATAATTCGATTTGTTACAGAATTGATTTGTTACTATCTGGGAGATACTAAATTATGATAAAAACTTAGCCTCTTAGTGCAGTCAGAGGTTTTTACAAGGAGGAAGGAGAGGGAAAGCAGAACAAACAGACGATGGGGAGAGGCTGTGGACACGCAGGTAGTGTCCTTGCTGCTCCTGGTACATATCTTTATAGTCAGCGTCCTTGAGACTCTGGGACTCTGAGGTCAGGCTCTTTCTTAGGTTTACACAGGAAATGAACCTGTTGATTCTAGTAAAGTACTAAAGTATACTTAAAAAGGAAACTTTTAACATTTGAGAGAGAAATCAGGTTAGAGTAACAAGTCGGGTTTAATATTATTAACATGGGTAGCTTTATATAAATATAGAGCATTCATTCCACATTACTTCATCATTCCTTTCCAACTGCATCCTTTTCATTCTCTTGTGATTATTATGCTCTTGCATTAGATGTCTTAAATGCTGGTTCTCTAATAATCATTTTATAAGAAAGAGAGCTATGAATGAAGCACAGGTGTTTCTTTTCCTTCAATGTTTTTATTTTTAATATCAAAAATATTTCCATTTGTGATTAAAGAAACATATTTTATGTAAACACATGAGATATAAAGTTTCTCTTTTTATTTGTGAGCTCCTACTTCAAGTCAAAGTACTTTCTCTTGTATATTTGATCAAGTCATGAGCAATTCACTGTTTCCTTCTGTATGGATGTAACTGTGTGAGACTTAGGTTGCCCCCTTTCATGATGACTTTTGCATTTGAGGTGCTTTCTGCAGGCAGTTCACCATAGACTGATGTATATGACTGCTGGTTTTAATTTAATGATTTGAAAAAGTTGTGTTTAGGAGTCAGGTGTAGTGTGAATTTTAAATTTTGACAGAGGTGTATACAACCTTACCAGTGGATCTAAGGTTTGCTCTGCTCAGCTCTGCTATGGAGGCACACTTCTCCATTTCATCACAAGATTTCTGAGAGAAATGGAAACCTTAATGTCTTTGGTGTTGCTGCTTGTTACTTTAAGAGGAGCCTTTCTGAAGTGGTACCTTTGGAAATACTTATGGGATAAATTGCACAGGGAAGTAATGAGCACTGAAAAGGTCTAGATCTACAGGGATTAAAACAAGACACATAACCTTTCATATATCCTTTGGCATTATAGTTAATTCATTTCAAATATTCATCATATTATGACAAATGTGTGACTCTTTTTTTCTTTAGACAGGAAAATTATCTCTATTATGAAATAAAAATAAGCACATGGTCACATGTAATATGCTGTATTATGATTTCAATCTTTCTTAATATTCTAGTTTCACTTTAAAAATTTTAATGAGTAGAAGAGTAACTTCACCAACCACTTATCATCTTTCTACTCAAAGGTGCTATCTAAGGAAAGGAGCAACATTGAGTTACAATTTCTTTCTTTTTTTATGGTTCAAACGCATTTGTCTCAATTATCCCACTACTGCTTTTCCCTGTCCTACCCACCTCCACCTCCCAAGTTACAATTTCAGAATGGGCTTTCCTTTCCCTGTTGCAAAATCAGGTTTTTAGATGCATGATTGTAAAATGAAGTTATTGTTCATTTCTTAAACATTTTGTTTTACTGAACAGCACAAGAAATAAACAATTTGATTTTGTGCCTTCCAGGTACAACCATTTTGACCAAATAGAAATACCACAAAACCTTTGGAGACGTTTCGAAATTAGAGTGACTGAAAGTATTGATTCATTATAAGTTCTTTGCTTCTGCTTTACATATTATGTTTGTATAAGACATTGACTGACTTGGAAATCAGGACATTTTCTTGTAAGCCTAAGAAGCAGGGCCTGCACCTTTGTACTATAAAATAGTTACTGTAAGTCATTATATAGTTTGAAATAAATGGATAAAATATGACTAACCTGATTAAAAATAGGGCCAAAGAGATGAACTGCACTTCAAAATGAGGTAAAACTATTGGGAAATGCCCCGTCTGGTTTCAGGGAATTATAGCCCCACCAATAGGCAAGAGGGCCCCAAGGCTGGAAATAATCAAGGAGACTTTGGAAAAACAGGCCACTGAGGAGACAAAACCTGTCCCCCTGGCAGGGGCGCAATCCCTGCCTCCCTCACATCACACTGCTTAGCCCTATGATGGTCGGTTAGTCAAAGATGGGTAAGATTCCTCAAGAGGAGGGACAACCTAAGCCAGACATGGCCAGTACGGGCAGCAGACAAGAACTTGGGGGACATGGAGAAAGGGCAAAAAGTCCTGCATCTCTCAGCTCAGCTTGGACATGGCCAAAGTCCTCTCTACCTGAAAGAAGTCTCCTTATCTTTTGGTGGCTCTGCCCTGTCTGCCTGGCTCAAGCTTGAAACAATACTAAAGGCAGGTACAGCCCTAAACTGGATGGGGAGGTTCCCGGAGATAATCAGGCCTAGAAGGAAGTTTCTCTAAGCATGCTTTGTTCTTCCCTCAAAAGTGATGATAACCAGCTCATACTGGGAAGGAGATTTACATTATTCATAGACCCTGACCTGAGGCAGATCTCTTATGTTCCCTCAATTGTTATCCATGATCTCTATTTGTTTTCTGTAAACGTAGCCTTTTGACATTGATTGATGAGCTTTGCATCCATACCCCTATGCATATGGTTTTCAGTAAAAACTTTTGGACGTGGGGATTTAGGGCCTTCTCCACAAGAGGGAAGTTGCCATGTCCCTTCTCCTGGCAAATAGAGAAGTGTTTGCAATGGCTTGTGTTTATTCCCCCCATCTGTGACAACACTGGGACGGGCTCTGTGGTATTCAGAGCCCCACTCCCTCCTCAGCTGGCTCTGGACAGTAACCCTCAGATCCAGGAGTGCCCCATGTGGCACTCCTCATGATATAAACCCACTTAAAAAACTTATGGCATAAACTATTACAATTAAATATATACATTCCCTATGACCTTGAGTTCTACTTCTAGTTATAGACAGAACAGATATGCACATATATGTGCACCACAAGATGTGTTCTTGTGGGTTTATGGCAACATCACTTCTAATAGCTCCACATGGAAAACTATCCAGGCATCCAACAACAAAAAAGAAATAAATTGTCACACATTATAAAATAAAATATTGTACAATATAGATGAACCTCAGACACATTTTGAGCAAAAAATTAAAATATCTAAAACACTAAAAGGTGCATAATTTGATTTTGTTTTTAAGGGAAATTATAAAAACCGATAGCAGAAATATACAGTATTAGAGAGGCAGACGGTATGTAGCTAAGGTAAGAAGGAGGTGACAGAGAGTGGCAGGAGGGAAGTTCTGCAGTCCTGGGTGGTATTTACACAGCTGCCTTCACTTCTGGGAATGTCACTGTGCTCTTTATAATGATGTGTTCAATTTTCTAGATAAATGTTATACTTCAATTGAACTTTATTAAATATCAATGACAAATCAAAAGAGCACTTGAACCGGATTCTTATGTTTTGTCTTTTGTCAGATGAAGATATTCTACTATTTATTTTTCAAATGCATTTATCTCAATTATCTACTATTTAGCTTCCACTAATTTCTCATAGTAACAAATTTACTATGCCTTTAAGTAAAGATATGGTACTTTTTTTCTGAAAACAAGTGCAAAATTACATAGCAAAACTTTATCAGGAGTACCTTTCCTCAAACAAATCTGAATTAGGAGCTTATAAATTTCTAAAAGGAAAATTAAAAGATAAAAAAAGCTAGTCAGCCACATTCTTATGATATCACAGGGGTAGTAAGCAGTCTAGGAGATAAACAATAATAATTATTATAATATGTCCCCATTATATAAATAGAGACAGAGGTTTAGAGAGATTAATTGGCTTAAAAACAATTATGGAAATAACAAGTAACAGTAATATCTGATTTGGGAGCCCTCATAATTCGCATGACATAAACCAATATTGAAATAACATTAATTTGGATATTTTGTCAACATCTATATAAAAATAAGAAAAATATGGGCAATGATTTTTAAATATTTATCTACCTTTTTTCAAAATCTGTTATGAAGGATATGTGCTTTTTTTCTTGATTTGTTTTGCCTGTAAAGCAATTAATTCTGGTCTTCTTTACATCTAATATAATGAATATCTTGCATTTTATGATTATTGATGCAATTTCCACTCTTTTAAATATACAATGAGAAGAAACAGCTGCCTTTTTAATGATTCACATTGAACTACACTAGTTGTAATAAAATAATGATATAGACTTGTAACCTAGCGAAATTAAAATTTGCATAAATTGTCCCAGTCATACAGGTTTTTCCAAAATTCAGCTGCAATATACTACCATAAGCTATTTCTCCATCATAAAATTCTACTCCAATAAACCCTGAGATATGGAAATAGGTTAGGACTTGTGGTAGGTAATAAGAATTACTGTGACTTCCATCTGCCCACCCATTTTAACCTAACTGTCTTCTATTTCTTCTCTTGTTATGTTTCTGAATTTGGTGGATTGGATGAGACAGGGAAAAATGAGAATAAAGAATCAAAGTAGAAAAGATCAGGGACAATTTATATCTACCCAGATAATATATCAAAGTACCAAAACCATAAAAAGAGTTTGACTCCTGCTCACTTTCCTCTACCTTAATCCTTAACAGACAAAATAGTTAAAATAAAGCTAAAACACAGTATTTTTAAGTGAACATGGTCAGACAATTTTACTTAGTTTTGAGACAGAGATACTAGTCATAAAGTAATGCTATGAAGAAGGTGCATGTTGCTAATTGTTAACATTTTCTAGACATACTTTGACTATTTTAGCTAATTTCCTCGAGTTTCAAGAAATAAATGGCATGGAGTTTTCCTCTATTTTGCAGAGACCATTGTTTTGCCCTTCCTTCATACATGTTGAATATTCTTTAAGTGACCAGAGAGTTTCTTGCTGGTTATTTCCTGAGTCAGAATTTATCCAGTCATTTTAGGAGGAGGTGGTATGTCCAAGGCTGTCCAGGGAGAAAGAGGGGGAGAAATATCATGGCCTGGACCTCCTCCACCTCCGTCTGCCTTCCATCATCTCCCAGAGTGGAACCTCGCCCAAAAGAGGAAGCCCTGGGCTGTGGAGGCAGGGAAATGCACTTCATTGTGATCCTGCCCATGCGGAGGACCTAAGCATGGTTTGGAGAGGGAAGAAGCAGAAAGTTGTCTGAACCAGCAATCACCACAGCACCAAATGGGACTATAGCTTAGCCAGACTACAGCTGACCAGTAAACTGAAATACAGAAAAAGGGTTGTCATCTGCAGGACTAAGCTCAGTAGGATTCATTTGCAAGCTTCTGAAGTCATATATATCTTTATTGTGCCATTTTCTTAATGAACATATTGTCAATTTACCTTGATTTCCTACATGTTTAAAGATTTATTTTTTGAATTTTGCTTTAGCATTTGTAATTTCTAAATAAAACAAAAAGTTCAAAAGAGGAGAAAATGTTAATATACTGGTAGATACATACATGTAAATCTTTAAAACAACTGCTTGCATGAATGACAACTCTGCTTTGTATTTGACCTTTTTCATTGAAGTATTTAAATAATTGCACTTTGTTTCACAATTAGGTTTAAAAAATTGTTCCTTAAACTCGTTGTTGTTGTGTTATGATTTAAAATTGTTTCTTATTTTTCAGATTTTTGCATAACAGCAAGCTATCTAACATCCCAGCTGGGAGCTTTCTCATCTGAATTCATTAAAGAGACTGTAAGTGAAAGCAAATACATAAACACAAAAATCTTATGAAATTCTCCAAAATAACTAAATTCCAAACAAAGACTTGCATTTGTTTTCTTTTGACGTGAAAGCTCATTGCAGTTATAGGGTGTTAGAGAGAAAATGATGTTGTTAACTGCAGAGTGATAGAGGACACAGATATACCGAGCTTTCATGTATTCTCTTAGAAGTGAATTTCAAAAGGAATACTGACAATAGAAGTTTTCCTCGGTTCTCAGTAATTTCTTTGTTGGGCAAATCTAAAGACTCCCAAGACTTCCTTTAACTTTTATTAAAAAAAGAGATGTGAGAAGTTCCAAAGAAAGCCTAACTCCTCCGGTCAGGCTTCAGAAGTTTTCCCTCGTCGCACATGTGGTTACCAGTACAGTTCATTTCCTTCTATATTAAATGAAACAACTAAAATCCCAATCCCGATTCTCTCATAATCTCCCTTTGCCTTGCTTTTCTGTTTACGTGAATCACTCTCCTTTACTTTGATCTGTCTTTTCACCCTGATCTTTGTGTATTCTCCTGCCTTATTGATATTTTCCTTTTATTTTTTTGATATTTATTTTCCCTCAGAATGCACTGAAGTAAGTTCCAGTTACCAGGTAAAGGTCAGATGTCCTGCTTCCACCTGTTGGCTGGAGAGCACATAGTAGAAAAATCAGAAAGGTATATCTTTTACTTATTATCGAGGCCGGTTTGTTGTTGTTGCCATTCGGAGGTTGTATACCAAGATCCTGGTCCATGTGCAAGGGAATGTTAGAATACATAAAAATCAGAATACTTAAGAAAATAAATTTATGTTCAATCAGTGCCTGGAGATATTGCTGGTAATATTTGCATTTAAAATGTCATGAATGATGATGAGAACAAATGATCCAGTTCTAGTTCATTTTTTTTTTCAAGTTTATAGTCTTTATTTATTTGGGCAATTTTCATAGCAGATGCATGTGATGCTGCTTAATAGTCTATTCCCTTCTGGCTTTTCTCTTTGTGCTCAAACCCACAAAGTCCTTGTTTAACTGCCAAAGTTTTCTTATCAAAACTTGTTGCACTATAGCAATTTGAAATAATACACATATCCTTTTGTTTGTTTGTTTGTTTGGGATTCTTTACATGAACTTCACTTTCGGAATAGTCTTAGGTTCACAGAAAAATTTAGCAGAAATTATTGAAATTTCTCATATATCCGCCTGCCCCGACACATGCACAGCCTCCTCTACTATCAACATTCCCTACCAGAGTGGTACATTTGTTAACAAATGATGAACTTACATTGATACACCATAATCACTCAAAGTCCATAATTTATTTTATGGTTCACTCTTGGTGTTGTAAATTATGTTTGGATAAATGTATAATGACCTGTATCCATCATGGTAGTACTATACAAAGTATTTTCACTGCTGTAATAATCCTCTATGCTCCACCTACTGAGTGCATTAATGTTGAATAGATCTGTTTTTTAACCAAATAGATGATAAAATTAATCAGTCACTGAAAAGGAAATGTATTAAAGGATCTTTTTGTTACAATGTGCAAGAGACAATTCCAGATATGGACTTTTGTAAAATGGTATTGTTTCCAGTTATAGCTGGACATTTGGTATTTAAAAAAAGAAAAGGTTTTTTTTCCTTTAAGTTTTTTTAAAATCCTTCCTCTATCCTTCAGTGATCTCCAACCTTTTTGGCAGCAGGGTCCGATTTCTAGGAGAACAATTTTTCCATGGATGGGGGCTGTGGGGATGGTTTCAGGATGATTGGAGTGCAGTACAATCAAGATTATACCCTTTTGTGCAGCCAGGTTTGTAACAAACCTGGGCTGGTAACTTTCTGGAACCTGGAGGTTGGGGACCCCAACTATAGGTAAAACTTAAAATATGTGGAACACATGCTTACTGATATCTTTGTGTCGTGGAGGTTTACAAGAGAAAATAAGTCATCTGGGGTAACTGCATGAATCATACACAAGCACATTTACAAGACTTCTTTGAGCAATGAAGTCTCTACTCTTTCTTTTAAGTAATTCTCTATGAAAAAGTTAAAAAAACACCAAAGATAAAGAAAATTGACAAACCTTTAACCAGAATCATCAAGAAAAAAAGAGAGAGGATCCAAATAAATAAAATCAGATATGAAAGAGGAGAAATTACAACCAATGTCATAGAAATACAAAGGGTTATAAGAAATTACTAGGAACAATATGCTAAGAAATTTGAAAACCTGGGTGAAATGGACAAATTTCTAAAAACATACAGTCTTCCAAAATTGAATCAAGAAGCATCAGAAAGCCTGAATAGACTGATAACAGCTAGTGATATTGAAGTACTAATTAAAAAACTGGAACACAAAAGCCCTGGACCAGACGGCTTCACCAGAGAATTTTATAAAACATTTAGGGAAGAGCTAAAACCTATCCTGCTCAATCTATTACAGAAAATACAAGAAGAGGGAAGACTCCCAGAGTCTTTCTATGATGCCAGCATCACTCTAATTCCAAAACCAGATAAAGACACAACAAAGAAAACTACAGGCACATATGGCTGCTGAACAAAGATGCTACATTCTTCAACAAATATTGGCAAACTGGATCCAACAATACATTACAAAGATCATATAACATGATGAAGTGGGATTTATACTGGGATGCAAGTATGGTACAATATTCACAAATCAATAAACACAGTAAGTCACATAAACAAAATGAAAAAAATCACATGATCATATCAATAGATGCCGAGAAAACATTTGATAAAGTACAGCACCCATTTATGATAAAAACACTTAACAGAATGGGAGTAGAGGGAGTATATCTCAACATAATAAAGGCCATATATGAGAAACTTATAGCCAACATCATAGTCAATGGGAAGAAAACTGAAAGCTTTATCCCTTAGATCAGGCACAAGACAAGAGTGTTCTCTTTCACCACCTCTATTCAACATAGCCCTAGCCACTGCAATAAAACAAGAAAAAGAAATAAAAAGCATCCAAATTGGAAAGAAGGAAGTAAAACAGTTTTGTTTGCAGATTACATGACAGTGTACATAGAAAACTCTACAGAATCCACCAAAAATTAGTCGACCTAATAAGTGAATTTGGCAAAATGGTAGGATACAAGGTCAATATTCAGAAATTGAAGGCATTTTTGTATACCAGTGATGAAATATCAGAAACAGAAATTAGAGAAAAATCACATTTACTATAGCAACAAGAAAAATAAAGTACCTAGGTATAAACTTAACCAAGGAGGTTAAAGTCCTATACTCAGGAAACTACAGAACAGTGAATAAAGAAATTAAGGAAGACATAAATAAATGGAAACATATACTGTGTTAATGGATTTGAAGAATTAATATCATTAAACTACCCAAAAACATACTACCCCAAAACAATTTATAGATTCAACACTATCCTTACTAAAATACCAATGACATATTTCATAGATATACACTAAATATTCCAAAATTTATATGGAAACATAAATGATCCTGAAGAGCTCCAGGAATTTTGAGAAAGAAGAACAAAGTTAGAGGGATCACAATACCAGACATCAAACTATATTACAAGGCCACTGTAATCAAAACAGTCTGGTACTGATATAACAACAGGGACATAGATCAATGGAACAGAATAGAGAACCCAGAAATAAATCTAAGTCTCTATGGTCAATTAATATTTGACAAAAGGGGCAAAGGCATAATATGGAATAAAGATAATCTCTTCAACAAATGGTGTGGGGAGATCTGGACAGCTATATGCAAAAAAATAAATAAATAATAAATAAAAGAAATTAGACCCCCAACTTACACCATACACAAAAATAAACTCCATATAGATAAAAGGCTTAAATATAAGTCACGACACCATAAAAATCTTCGAGGAGAATATAGGCAGGAAAATTGCAGATTTTTCATGCAGCAATGTTTTCACCGATATGTCCCTTAGAGCAAGGGATATAAGGGAAAGAATAAGCAAATGGGACTACAACAAATTAAAACTTCTTCACAACTAAAAAAATCGTCAGCAAAACAAAAAGGGAACCAGCTGTATGGGAAAATGTATTTGCCAATGGTACCTTGGAGAGGAGTTTGAGCTCCAAAATATATAAAGAACTCACACAACTCCACTCCAGGAACACAATCAATCCAATTAAAAAATGGGCTAAGGACTAGAACAGACACTTCTCCAAGGAGGACATACATAGGACCCAGAGACATATGAAAGGATGCTTAACATCAGTAGTCATCAGAGAGATGCAAATTAAAACCACAATGAGATACCACTTCACACCGGTCAAAATGGCCATCATAAATAAATCAACAAACAAGTGCTGGTGAAGCTGTGGTGAAATGGGAACCCTAGTCCACTGTTGGTGGGAGTGCAGACTGATGCAGTCACTGTCGAAAACAGTATGGAATTTCCTCAGAAAACTAAAAATGGAACTGCCTTTTGACTCAGCAATTTCACTGCTGATATTATACCCTAGGAGCCATGAAACACCAATTCAAAAGAAGCTGTGCACCCCCATGTTCACAGCAGCATTATTTACAATTGCCAAGTGTTGGAAACAGCCTAAGTACTCATCAGTAAATGAGTGTATCAAAACACTGTGGCACTTTTACCCAATGGAATGCTACACAGCAGGAAGAAAGATGGAAATCCTACCCTTTGTGAGGGTATGCATGGATCTGGAGAGCATTATGCTAAGTGAAATAAGTCAGGCAGTGAAAGACAAATACCATATGATCTCATCTATAAGTGGGACCTTATCAACAAAACAAACAAGCGATCTAAAAAGAACCAGAGACATGGAAATAAAAAACGTACTGACAGTAACTGGGGTGGGGCAGGGAGGGTGGATAATTTGGGAAAGAAGGGGAAGGGTCAAATCAAGGAACATGTACAATGGACCCATGGACAAGGTCAACGGGGTTAGAATCATCTTTACAAATGGGATTGGGTTGGGCCGGGGAGAGGAATGGGGGGAAAATGGGGACAACTCTAACTGAACAAGAATAAAAAAACGATTTCATCAAAAAGATTCAAAATAGAATTTAATAGTCCCTTGTAACAGTTGTAATTCTTGCCTGCATGCATAAGCGTCTGGATTATGATGCTCTAGTTTGTGACTGTGATTTAACATGGCTGGGGGAATTTATGCAAAATTATAATTCAGGCTGCTGCCAGGTGTGAATACCCCAGAAGGCTCCATCCACACTCCATAGTTTCAGTGACAGAAGAAGAATTCAATCGTGGTATGCAATATTTTCTGCATCTATAAAACTTTAATGCAGAACATAAGTAAAACTACCTATAGCTCTTTGTCAACAATATCTTAGAATTCTATAATTCTGTATTTTTTAAAAAAATATACTACTAATTATTTTGTTACAGAGGGTCCTTGAGTTATTTTGAGCCTCAAGGTGTGGAGGTAACAAAGGAAATACTATTTCTCTTGCTGGGCTGAGATGACTTAGAAATGAAACATATAAATACTGAGCATGGGCATGTGTTGCAATTCTCTTTCTAATTTCAGTGATCTTTTTGTCTTACTTTACCTCATTTATCTAAAGATGAAATTTCCAAAATTATCAGAGTTTCTTAGAGATAAAATATATTTAATTTTACTTCTTTACTTGCTAAAGGTATGCAGGGGATTTAAAAATTGCATATTTCTTGACATAAATGATTATGAAACTGACAAATAATTTTATATTATTTTTAGAAGGAATATTAGAATTAATAACAAACCATTATGTTTTAAAATTGAAATATAATTTAATATAATGTCACCTTAATTATTTTAGGTTCAAAATGATATTTTATGTTGTCAGTTTTATATAGTAAATCAGTATAGGATTATGTATGTGAATTGTCAAAAAAAGGTATTCAAGATTATTTAAAGTATTAGTATTTATTTATCATTGAACTATTTGACAAAATGCAGAACATATGTGTTCAAAAACTTGTGAATATAAAATTAATTAGTAATAATAAACCTTTAAAAAGATGAAATAAACCTGACAAAAAGAAATTAGAAGACAATATAAAATAGATAATAAAATGAATTCTGTATTTAACACTTAATTCAATGATAGTATTTAAACAATTACCGTATTATTAATTACATTATTGGTAATAAGAATGATTCACATGTATCTCCTCCATTCTTGCACACATTTTATTGATTTTCTTGACATGTGTATAATCAGCTCTGAATTTTTATCTTCTTATTTATAAAATATTCTAAGAGGTATTAAAAATGGTTGATGTGTTTTTTATATATAATTTAGGTTTCTAGTTTAGTCACAATCTAAGACATGCTTGTAAAATGTGGCTTTAATTCTTGCCAAAAACTAATAAGTATAGGTTAAAAATAGCTTGGAAAGAAGGCAGTTATAAATACTATTAAATTTGGAATCTAGCCCAAGAGAAAAACTTCAATTAAAAGAAGACTTTAATTGATTTCCATTTAAAGTTTGTTCAAGGGTACTTGAAAAACAGAAATTGATGCTTGCAATGTCTTAAAGCTGCTTGCTTGGACTTTTTACAGTACAAATTCAGTCATTATGTGTTCAAGGTTACAAAGGTACTGACTAATGTAAAGTGAAAAATCATATTGCCTGATGGAATGTATGACATAAAGGTTTTAATTATAGTGATGAAAGAAGGTAAGATGCATTTAACAGGAAACAAAGAAATTGAAAGAAGGGTTAAAAATAAAGAAAGGTGAGATATAGGTGGAAATATCTGTTAAAGTATTAATTCATATAGAAAAATTAAAAATAAAAGAATAATTTATGCCAAGAAATTTAATATCAAGTTCTAACTTCTTGACTATTTGTTATTGAATAATTTTCTATTAAAAGATAATACAAATAGTGAAAGTACATGAAACATATAGTATAGCAAATAATTTGAAACAAACAAATATAAACCAAGTTAAGAAAAAAATACTGTCAATTAATTAGAAGCACTAGGTATCCCTTCCTTTATACGGGCAGGGGTGTCCAACCTGTGGCTCACAGGCCACATGCAACCCAAAATGGCTATGAATGCAGACCAACTCAAAATTGGAAATTTACTTAAAACATGAGATTTTTTTTTCTGATTACATGTCCCAATGTATTTAAGGTGTGTCCCAAGACAACTCTTCTTCCAGTATGACCCAGAAATACCAAAAGGTTGGACACCCCAGTATCCTATTTTCTTCCCCTGGAGATAACATCTGTCCTGACTTTAGGATCTTTGGAGAAGTGAGTTAAAAACTGATTAAACCAAGCACAGGTAGAATTAAAGCATTAAAATGTAGATTTAGTGAAGTAAGGTAGGTTTCAGAATGGTTAAGAGACATGGAGTCTAAAATGCAAAGACCTGGAACATATTTAGTAAGAAAGGTTAGAAATTATGAGCTGGAAGCAGTGTTTAGGGATATAACAACTAACAATGTTCCAGACATTAAAAAAATAATAATCATGAGATTTCAGACTGACTCGTATTAATTTTCAGAAGGTTTTAAAAAGAAATCTATACCTGGTGCATTATGATTGGAATGTTGAAAACCAGAGATAAAAAGCTTTTATTTCAAGATAATTTTCAGATTCTCTTCAAATGCCCAGCTCAAAATGACAAATTTGTATCAGCTACAAGGTATGAAATATATTTAAAGTGTTAAGGAAAAGTTGGTTTCTTTCAACTTTAGGTCAACTTAATTATCTGACAAGTTAAAATAAAGACATTTTTAGACAAAGAATTGAGTCTTACTCAGGAATATTTGTTAAAAATAAAATACAGACTACAAATAGATGTGCTTCAGTAAGTAGGCAATTGGATCCACAGGGAAGATGTGATCTGCAAGAAGCAAAAGTAAATAAACTACTTTTAAACATGTTGGTAAAAAAGAATAAACTGAGATTGTTAAATATAATACTGATCAAGTTTAAAGTAAGAGAGAAGTAAAATATTAGACATGCTAACTAAAGAATTGTGAGGAAAGAGGACATAATTAAATTATTTTCCATGCCTCATTTTTGAAGTGGAGAGTACTACTAATTTTGAAATTAGATCAGTCAAGAAGGCCTGTTAAAATTATGGTAAAATACTAAAAATTAACTAACAGAATATAACTTTCATACTAGGGGAAGGGAAATACTGTATGACTCTGACAAAGGAGAAGAAATAGACTAAAAAGGCAAAGAAAGAAATGGCATGGAAAGAAAGAAAACAAAATACCTCATCAGAAATAAATCAAAGTACATCAGTGAAAACAAATGTAGAGATTTAAATAACCTATTGAGAAACATAAAATTGGTTAAAAAAACACCCAGCAAGTGCTACTTATGAAGCACACCTAAACCATTATAACACTGATTGGAAGTTAAACAGACATAACCTCTGAATTATACTAATCAAAATGAAAGTGCTACAGAAATATTAATATCAGATTGGAAGATGGTGACAAGGTAGGTAGGAGCAGAACCTACTTCCTTGTGTACCCAAACTGGAACACCTAGCTGATCTTCTAAAGAACTGAGTGAACAGCCAATGAAATCTTAGCTTATTTGAAGTTTGGAAGCCAAAGACTGCCGAGGACGTTTAAGAACAGATGGTAAGGAGGTTTTGCAGGCCTACAGAAAGGTCCCCTGGCCCTGTTCCAGGGACTGTGACTGCTGCAGGACCCCTGGAGGAGAGCCAGGATAGCAATTATAACTTGGCAGCTCCTGCCCCTCCCAGAGCAGGGAAACCACAGATCTGAGCCAGTAGAGACCTGGTCACTTGAAATCGCTGTTGGGGGATAAACACCTAGTGGGAGACACACAGCAGGCAGCGTTCCCTAGCTGGAACTGTGGTGGCTAGCTGGGACAGTACCAGAGAAATTGAGGAGCCTGGTGACACCAGGAGATGGGAGATGATATGGGCCGCGACTGACGAAGATACAGATTGTCTCAGGACTGGTCAGAGAGTTGGGCTGTGTGAAAAGCCCGGCGCTTGTTATGAAAGGCAGTCCACAACCAAGAGGAATTCACTAAAAAAAAAAATGCTCTAACCCACTGTGCAAAGACCTCTTGCTCACAGTGGCAAGGCCAGCAAAGAAGGAGGGGCAGGGTATGATTTGCTCCCACTCAAGATGCTTTAAGGACTGATCAAAGTAGGGCAACCGGGGCTCAGGGAGGTAGAAGTCCCCAAACAGACTTAATTTAATAGGGGAACTTAACTGCTCTGAAGGAATTTTGTGTGCAGGCAGAGCCCAAGCCAGTAAAGAGTAAGGAAGAAGTGTGTGAGTTGCTCCCACTCTGCACCTCAGGGCCTAATCAAAGGATGCACAATGAAGCAGATTAAAGGCACTGACATGGCGCATACGGCCAGTGTGTGGGCTGCGCAGTGCTCTGAGGACTTGAGCTGGAGGCTGGGAACCTGAGAATATTGTAGCCCAATACCAGCCCTCATCCTTGAAGATCCAGGAGAAAGTTAAAAAAAAAAAAAAAAATCCCCGCCCTACTCAGTCTGCAGCATCCAAGAAGACCAGCGGAACCCTCTTGGTGAGTTTAAAGTTAGCAGGAGGTTCTTAAAAAATTTTTTGTTCTCTCTTTTTTTTTCTTGCAAGTTTAAGACAGTAAGACCTGGAGCTGTGAAAGGACCAAAGACAGATCCAGGAAAAAATCAGAAGGCTAATGCCAACAACTGAGAAAAATTTCACTTTCCTCTTCTTCAGAACTTGCATTTTTTTTTGTTATTTTTATATTATATTACATTATATTATATACTTTTTAAAATTTCTTTTCCTTCCATTTTGTTTTCTTTGTTTTGTTTGTTTGGCTTCATTGTCTGACTGGTTTTCTTGTTCTTCCTTTAATTTTGCTTTTTAATTTTTCTTCTGTCACTGCACTCATATTCCAGTAACACACTACTCTTGGTCTTTTACTTTTTATTCTTCTTATTCAGATTATATATTTCTTCTCATATTGTTCCAAATCCCACATAGCACCCTTCCTTGGTCTTGGTCCATTTTGCTATCTTCCTGAGCTTTATTACTGTTGTGGTTAACTTTATTCTGTCCCCACACTACCCCAGATTTCTATCCCTTACTCTCACTCTATCTCACCATCTAACCCCACATAAGAGCTCTGCTTTCTGGAGTCAGCTCACATTCTTTTTCCCCTCTAATAGAAGTCTTATCTCTTTTTCACCTTTTATAAATAAAAAGTGGCTAGTTGGGTGAATTATCATGGTTATTGCTGTACTTCTCCAAGGATCT